TTTAGAAAAATGTATAATTAAAGAAAAAAGGTTGCAGCTTGCAAATGGAGACATATGAGGAAAAGCAGGATGCATCATGAAACATAGGACCACAAATAAATGTCTGAAAACAAACCACTGTGAATTTAAGTTGAGTACTTTTAATATTGGTCCTCCACAAAAAACCCTTTGTGTTGTACTAAAAGGCAAATTAGGTTGGCTGGCAGTTTGATGTACTGTGCATCCCAGCTAACATGCGCCACAATTGAAGACAGATAAATAAATAAAATAAAACAAAGTTGTCAGATGGGCTGGGGGTTCCGTTATGAAATTGAATTAGCCATAAAGTTTCGGTCCAGCCCAGTTATATATGTTGCATCCTGACCACATGTTATGTAAGGCAAAAGAGTCTAACCCTATAGCTAGCTAGCTAATTAAAATAATAGATTAAATCATTCTTGAAACATTAGCTACTAGATATGTATGGCCAATGGCTCCGGCCCTAATCTAAAGGGTCAAGAGTTTCAAAAAACTTGAACTCCAATTAGCCCGACCATTTATTGGGTTCCGGTTCACGATCCTGTAGGTCCTGAGTGCAAGCCCAATCCGTCGGTTTCAGGTCCAATCCAACAAGTTTAGACTTTTCCTTTTTTTTTTTTAGGGTTTAGGGTAATAAAATATATTAGAGTGGTGTTAGTAGTATTTGGACATAATAGATAAGTGAATTATTTTATTAAATTAGTAGGTTGATTTATAGCGTTGAGTCAGAAATATAATAATTTTTATTTTAAAACTAATAATTGNCTTTTTCTTATAGTCAGTAAGCAAATTAAGTAAAAAAACAAAAATATGCAGAAATGTAAGACCTATACTTTGTTTGCATCACCCCGTTGATTGTTGAATTATGTAATTAATTATAAAAAAATAAAACTATTGATATCTTATTTTATTCTATAAACATAATTTAAATAATAATAAAAATATATATAAATTTTAAACCTCAAAGAATTAATATTGTATTTTCCTCATAAATATACAACACAAATATATATACATAACTTTATTTTCATTTATTTTTTTGAAAAACTTAAAAACAAAAGGAAAATATATAGTAGTCAAGCCAATACTCAAATCAATGGGGACAACGCCAAATCGATCAGGTTATTCCGTGTTACTCGATACGTCAAAGGACGACCTGATTGACCTGAAGTCGGAGCTGTTGACCAGTTGGGCCAATCTAGGTCCGGGTAAAAAAGCACTAGGTCATGGGTCATGAGACCACCTTCACCATGACTCCATGAATCCAAATCATTAAAACCTCTTTTCACCTAGTGTTATTTCCTTGGTTAAATATTAATGTATAAAGATATGGGGTGATAATTAATTTGACTAAAAAAAAAACAATAATTTGTTTCGTAATTCATATTACCGACTAAACTAGTAGGTCATGAATAATATATTAGATAGGTTTAACAATTAGAAGTAACATACATTTTTAAAATATGAATACGAAACGACATAATTTTAAAAACATCATAAATAAAAAAAAATGGCGCAAATTTCGTAAGTTGATCTTGACACATCTATATATATAATAAGAATTACCATTAACTAAAAATAGTAGCCAAAAGTTTAGGAAACATCAAATGCATACCATTTTTGAAAACTTTTAAATATATACATTAATTGCTTTCATATACACGTTTTCAAATAAGAGATGATCAAAAAATTAATTAAATAAAGTTATTAATATCTGCAATACTTTCATTGATATTTATTATAATAAATTACAAGATTGATTTTCCGTGATTCATGTTGATAATATTTTGGTCAAGATAAATATTATTTTGTTAATATTTGTAATACTTTCATTGATATTCATTATAATAAATTACAAGATTGATTTCCATGATCCATGTTCATAATATTTTGGTCAAGATAAATATTACACCATATTTTAAGTTCTAACCATAATATATTTTTTTTTTCACAAATATTCATTTTTTATCCAAAAATATTTATGGAAAATCGTAACAGGGTAGGTAAATTTTTTTTTCCAAGTAATCAGACAAAATGAAGTTGGTGAATTAATCTTTGCCAATATATAATTTACTAATGACCATATACATTAAATATAAAAAATAAATTGTTCTTCAAATTAATATAATTTACTATTTAAGAGATAATGACCATATACATTAAATAATTTTACTAATGGTAAAAAATTAAAATTAAAATATATTAACTATTTTTTAGAATTTATTTGTATATTATTGGCACCCATGATTATTTTCTTCTATTTTGATTTACTTCTATAATTATATTCTTGTAAAATAAATTTTCATTGCAGGGTAGGTAAAATTTTTTTTCCAAGTAATCAGACAAAATGAAGTTGGTGAATTAATCTTTGCCAATATATTTTTTTCTTAAGCTTTATTTTGTTAAATATAAAAAATAAATTGTTCTTCAAATTAATATAATTTACTATTTAAGAGATAATGACCATATACATTAAATAGTTTTACTAATGGTAAAAAATTAAAATTAAAATATATTAACTATTTTTTAGAATTTATTTGTATATTATTGGCACCCATGATAATTTTCTTCTATTTTGATTTACTTCTATAATTATATTCTTGTAAAATAAATTTTCATTGCAGAGTATGCTAAATAAACTATAAATCCTTATAATGCGAATTAGAAAAATCTTGATCATAGAAGGGATTGAGTTTTTGGTATTTTCTAAGTCAAAGTTGTTTAATTAGTATACAAAATTAAATTCTAAAAAAACATGTGTATATTTTGTAAAATATTCACACACTATTTAATTTTAAATTTATTTACATATTTTAAATTGATTATAAATAAATAATACTAACGTGCATTAAATATTTTTCATTACATAAAATAAAAAGAAAAAGAAGACGTACAACTTCTATAACTTTATAAATAATAATGATATTATATGACAACAAAGTATATTATAAAATAATAATTAAGTATTATATGGTGAACAATAATAAGTAAAATTGTATACTAAAATTAAATTTATATTAATATAAATGTGTTAGTGAGATAATATATTAATTATTTTACAAGTTAGCAGTAACATGGTCATATTTAATGTTTTGACTAAAAAAACCACGCTGATTAAAAGAGGTGCAAAATAGATTATAACTTTATTGTTTATTACACTTAACGCAGATTAAAGAGCTGGAAAATAGATGATAACTCTATTGCTTTATATACTTAAACGGACAAAGACTGTGAAAATAATTCATTTAATATGTCTGTCCCGTGCATCGCACGGAGTACGTACTAGTGCAACAAAATCAACAGTCGGAAAATAATAAATAATAATTGCTAGACGCCCGTTGGTTTAGAGTCCAACCCGTTAATCGAAATTGGAATAACCAAAATATTTGCAATAAATTATATTATAAAAAATATATTTTAGTATTTTTAATATTTTTATTTAATATTTTATATTATATTTGGTTAAAATGAAATAATATATTTGATACTCTCGCACCTCGAATTGGCCTTCCAGCGATCCTCCACCATCTCGCTCCCCGGAGACCTGCAAAGACGTCAAGAGGTGTTGATGAAGATGCCTTCGAGGCCCGAGCACGCCGAGAGCCGATGGCCGAGACGATCCGAGAAAGCCGAGAAAAGGGCCAAAACCACGCATGCATGTCCTAAAAGACGGGTACGAGCTCGTACGTGAGGCGCACGAGCACAAGAGGAGCAACACGAGCCGACCCATACACGGCTAAGGCGATCGACATGCCGAAGAGTGAACCATGGCAGTAGGCGAGAGAGGCACGAGTCGACGCGAATGCGGGGTAGACGACGAGGGTTTCGTGTAAAGAAGCGGGTACGCGCAAGAGGAGCTCGCGCGATCACAAAGACGTGCGCGCAAAGAGGCCGCATGAGCTCTAGGTGCGCGAGGCGTATGAGCATGGCGCGTATGCGGACGGTCTTGGACTTGGGAGCACGTATGGGCTTGGGCTTAGCGATAGTGGTCCGGTCGAGCCAGGAAGTTAGCAACGGGCCGCGCCAGGAAGCACGTGGAGGCGTGAGTGGGCGTGATGCGCAAATGCACGAGGCGAGCCGAGGAGCGAAGCTTGTAGACGATTATAATTAAATTAATGATGTAATTAGTATTTTATTTTATTAGCGTAAGATTAGTTTATAT